TGGTGCAGTGTGGTGGCTGGTGGCTGGTGATGGTGGTGGTGATGGTGTGGTGTGGTGTGGTGTGGTGGCCAGTGCTGTGTGTGTGTGTGTGGTGTGTGTGGTGCTAGTGCTAATACTAATAATAATACTATACTAATACTAATACTATACTAATACTATACTAATAATAATAATAATATTAATAATAATATACTATACTAATACTAATACTATTATACTAATACTAATATATATATATATATATATATATATACTATACTATACTATACTATACTAATATATATATATATATATATATATATATACTATACTATAATTATAATATATACTAATACTATACTATACTATACTATACTATACATAATATATACTAATACTATACTATACTATACTATATATATTATATATACTAATACTAATAATAATAATAATATAATAATAATATCAACAGGTTGCGTCATCTGGAATTCTTAAGATTGCTTCACTGAATTCTCTAAGTGATAAGATTACACTACGTCCTCAAGTCTAGATCACATATGTAGCTTGCGTCACGTGTGTAGCCTTACGTCAAATGTGTAGCTTTGTGTCACATATGTAACCTTGCGTCATATGTGTAGTTTTGCGTCATAGCATAGCCTTGCATGATATGTGTAGCGCATGATATGTAGTTTGCGTCATATGTGTAGCCTTGCATCACATGTGTAGCCTTGCATCATATGTGTAGCCTTGCATCACATGTGTGCTTGCATCACATGTGTAGCCTTGCATCATATGTGTAGCCTTGCATGTGTGTTATGTTGCATTAGGCACACATGAGTCATTGGTCTAACCCTGTGATAAGGAACATATGTGCTACTTCAGCCACATATGTGCTACGTCAGCCACATATGTGTTATCTTTCACTAATACATATGGAATGCTGGGTAAATATGTGGCTTTTATGTGTATATGTTGGTAAATATGTGGGTATATGTGAACCGAGCACATATGTGACTTTGCTTTTATTAAACATGTGAATTTTTGCACACACACACACACACACACACACACACACACACACACACACACACACACGGAAACCAGCCTTATTATGGGCGTGTCTCTGCGTGTGTACATATGAAAAATACACATATGAGGTATATATGTACGTGTTATTGAGCGCGTGTACGTATAAGAGTGTTATGTATGTATGTATGTAAGTAAGATATTTTGGCAGTGAATGACATCTAACAATTTCTCTCAATAATAGATAAATCGTTGTTGTGTGTGTATGTGTGTGTGTGTGTGTGTGTGTGTGTGTGTGTGTGTGTGTGAAGAACAAGCATTGAGAAGGGTTTAGAAGAGACTAAATTAATATGACACTCTGAAGCAATGACGGAAGCACGGAAAAGACGAACGGACGGACGAATGGACAGACGGAAGGACGAACGAACGGACGGACGGACGGACGGACGGACGGACAGACGGACGGACGGACGAACGGACGGACGACTGAACGGACGGACGGACGGACGGACAGACGGCCGGACATAGCCCCAAAAGCTTACCTTGTCTCACTTACTAGCAGCTGCAGCCTCCGAGACACACAACCAGATACATGTGATGGCTGAAGCGACGACCAAGAGGAGGAAGGAAGGGGAAGAGGAGGAGGAGGAACAGGAGGAACAGGTAGAGCCCTTCTGGGTGTACTGAAGAACAGGTGGAACAAGAGGAACAAGAGGAACAGGTGTAACAGGTGGAATAGGTAGAGCCCTCTAGGGTGTGCTGTTGCCACTATCCTCTTTACTCACTATACTAACTACTGAGCTTAACTGTGGCGTGTAGGGGCTTATCTTACAATGGGGGTGGGGGCGTGTGGGGTGTGGCGTAGGGGGGGGGGCGTGTGGGGGAGGAGAGGAGGAATTTGATTGGGCGCGTGATATGGGGAGAGTGTTATCTAAGGAGGACATGGGGTGGTGGGGGGTGGTGGGGGGTGGAGGAAAGTGAATGGGGTCGCTCAGGGGTGGCTGTGTGAGGAGTGGAATAGGTGGAGAAGAAGGAAGATGTGAGAGGAGAAGAGGAATAAGTGGAGGAAGACGGAGATAAGGAGAAAAAGAGGATTACTCACATTCAGTCATGTCTAGAGGGCGTCGTGTCATTGTTCACACACACACACACACACACACACACACACACACACACACACACACACACACACACCGGACTCTACTCTCTACCATTACCGTGTATGTATTCCCAAGCGAGGAGTCAAGTTTACTGTGTGGTAACCGTATGTCTTATCACGTCTCCCACCCACCAAAGTGCCATATTCTCCCTACTGGCACTAGAACTTCCCTCCATTAGTGCCAGTCCCCACGATGCTAGTTCCGTCTCAGTGCCAGGTCACCTCACAGTGCCAACTCTCATTCCCAACCCCAATTTCATCCTCGTAGTGCCAGGTAGCCCCCTCTACCCTCCCTCCTCCTTGGTGCTTGAGGTAGGGGTGACACCATGGCACTATATGTTAACAGTGCCACCTCTCTCAAGGTCATGTGATGCTGTAATTGTTGTGGTGAGTGCCATTGTTGTGGGCAGGTGGGTGTGCCTGTGATGACACACACACACACACACACACACACACGCACACACACACACACACACACACAACAACACACACACACACACACACACACACTCATCATGCCCTGTGATAGCAAGAACATATATAATTTATCACAGGACGGGACCACGATAACACGGGCTGTTAGTTCATGTTAGTGTGTGTGTGTGTGTGTGTGTGTGTGTGTGTGTGTGTGTGTGTGTGTGTGTGTGTGTGTGTGTGTGTGTGTGTGTGTGTGTGTGTGTGTGTGTGTGTGTGTGTGTGTGTGTGTGTGTGTGTGTTGTTAACTTTCTAATTCATTAATTATCGTGAAGAAAAATAAGACATGTATCATAACACACACACACACACACACACACACACACACACACACACACACACACACAGTATACTTACATAACATTACAAGGAGTCATAGTAGACTTTACTTAATTATCACAATACTTGACCTGACTTGATACCAACAAGTGGCTTGGATAAATCACTAGAATGAGGTCACGTTATTGAAAGGTCAAATCAGGTTACAGAATAATAAATCAGTCTAAACAAAATTAATCATATTTACTGATTTAATCTCCTGAATATATGTTTGGTGGTTGAGGACAGAATAAACTATCTTATATATTCTAATTCATCTTTTCCTCTTGTCTTCACTCAAAACACCATAACACACGCACCAAAATATTTTCCCAATTGTTATTTTTACCGAGTTTCTTCTTCTTTAGTTGTTTTGTTTTGTTATTATTATCCTCTTAACCACTCAGCACAAAATGGACGACGTGCGACCATCATTCTTCGCCACGATACACTGACGTTTCCTCTCACCTTCTATCTGTTTTTGCCAACCAACAGGAAGCCACAGAAGAGCTGCTGACACTAGCGGGAATGTCGTCATGGCAACAGCTAATAGGAAACCAGCTAAGAACAAGGAGTAATTCTTATTGGATCAGCACTCGCATGGCGTGGCTTTAGTGATAGGTAACACCAACTTTGTAAGGTTAGGATAAGGTGATTAGTCAAGTGGTGGGGCCAATGAGTGCAAGTCATGGTATTCAGGACCAATCAGAGCACTGATGCCCTTATAGACGTGGATTCTACCAATTGAATCCCAAGACGAGATTCTTAAGATTCTCGTAAGATAAATTTACTTTGATTTTGAGACTGCATGACGGGTCCAGCTGGTGCATGACGGGTCCAGCTGGTGCACATATGGTCCAGCTGGTGATGAAGGTCCAGCTGGCATGACAGGTCCAGCTGGTGCATGACAGGTCCAGCTGTTGCATGACAGGTCCAGCTGGTGCATGACGGGTCCAGCTGTTGCATGACAGGTCCAGCTGGTGCATGACAGGTCCAAGCTGATGATGACAGGTCCAGCTGATGCACGACAGGTCCAGCTGGTGTATGGCAGGTCCAGCTGGTGCATGACAGGTCCAGCTGGTGCATGACAGGTCCAGCTGGTGCATGACAGGTCCAGCTGGTGCATGACAGGTCCAGCTGGTGCATGACAGGTCCAGCTGGTGCATGACAGGTCCAGCTGGTGCATGACAGGTCCAGCTGGTGCATGACGGGAGTGTCAAGTGGTGCCAATGAGACTCATAGTGCCTGGTAATGACGAGGCATTGTGACCACCTTCCTCTTCTCCTCACTACCCGTGTACACCTTGCCTAACCTAACCTAACCAAACCTAACCAAACCTAACGTACACCTAACCAAACCTAACTTATACTTTACTAACACCAAATAAAACAATAAAACAAAGTTAAACCAATCACTCACCGTTTACGTCGGCGAGATGTCACCATTCGCCGAGGTTGATGAATCCAATAAAAGTCAAAAGAAAAGAAAAAAAACTATGAGACACAAATCCAAGTTGGAATGTTTGTTTTGGTCTGGTAGCGTCCAGATGATAAGCCGAGGAGAGTCAGACTAGTCCCTGCTGTGTTGGCCCCTCCAGTCACCCGCTGTGTCAACCCTCGTGGAATTCAGTCCTGTTTATCTGGTTTGGTCTTTGTAAATTTCTATACTTGTTGTTGTTTCAGTTGTTATCGTTATTTGGGGTTATTATTTTCATTGTTATTTTAACTCGGTATAGCCTGAAGGATAATAAGGTCTCTATGATATTTTTATTTTGTTTATCATTGTTTGTTTACCTATGCTGTCTTAGTACTATGTCAATGTTAATTTATATATATTTTTACTATATTATTCTATCTATTTGTGTTATTATTATTATTATTATTTCTTACTATATTTCAGTCTTAATTTTTTTACGAACGCAATTTGATTTTCCATTGTTTACATTCGTGAGAGAGAGAGAGAGAGAGAGAGTGGCAGAGAAACTCATCATGAAACACCTGTCCATACACCTGTCCACCGCTACTGTCCATACACCTGTCCGTCGCTACTCTCCGTACACCTGGACGTGACACAGGGCGATGCTGCCTCCTGATGAGTAAGTCTTGTGGAAGGTTATGTACTGTCCTGTAGCCGCCACTGTAACGGGAGGGGGAGACTGTAATTAGTTCTGTAACACAATGCTGGACTACTACTACTACTACTACTACTACTACTGCTACTACAACTATTCCATCTCTTACTTCTGACAACAATCAACCACAATTTACACCCTTTACCATCATCTACACCCCCACCACCTACACCCCCCCACCACCTACACCCGACCCCACCACCTACACCCCCACCACCTACACCCCCCACCACCCACACCCTCCACCACCTCACCAGACCCCACCACCTCCTACACACACCACACCCACACCCCCCACCACCTACACCGACCCCACCACCTCCCCACACACCCCACCACCCACACCCTCCACCACCACACACAGACCCCACCACCTCCTACACACCCCACCCCCACCCCACCCACCACCACCACCCCACCCACCACCACCACCCCCTACACCCCATAGGACTTGAGGATACGCCCCAACAAGATAGGACTCTGGGATCCTTTGGGAACTGTAGGAGAAATAGGATATGACTGTACTGTGTTGGTCGTGGTAATTAAGGAGTCCTGTGCGTAGTTACCTGTGTTGCCCACCTGTAAATGAAGCAACTTGTAAAAAGGCTGTAAATCATCGGTGTCGTTAATCTGTAAATGAAAGAACTTTGTAAATAAGGGACATATTTGTAAATGATGCCTGTTTTGATGTTAATGACCATTAATAGTTGTTGTCTAGTAGTTAAAGTCCCCCAAAACACATAAACAACAACAATCCTACATAAACTTACTTCTAACAACCATTAATAGTTGTTGTCTAGTAGTTAAAGTCCCCCAAAACACATAAACAACAACAATCCTACATAAACTTACTTCTAACAACCATTAATAGTTGTTGTCTAGTAGTTAAAGTCCCCCAAAACACATAAACAACAACAATCCTACATAAACTTACTTCTAACAACCATTAATAGTTGTTGTCTAGTAGTTAAAGTCCCCCAAAACACATAAACAACAACAATCCTACATAAACTTACTTCTAACAACCATTAATAGTTGTTGTCTAGTAGTTAAAGTCCCCCAAAACACATAAACAACAACAATCCTACATAAACTTACTTCTAACAACCATTAATAGTTGTTGTCTAGTAGTTAAAGTCCCCCATAACACATAAAAAAAAACCCCACAGCATCAAAGAAAACGTTTCTATCTCAAGGGGTAACTAACATATATCTCTAAGCTCTTGAAGTTCGGCGCACGGTGACTGATGGAAGCAGTGACGACAATGAGGGTGATAGTCTTCTCTTGTCTCAGGTTTATGGTGATGTGGGGATCCTTACTGGCCTCTGTAGTGGGACAGTCGTATTTAGAGGTCCGTGTGCCTAGAGTTCCGTCCACCTGTTGGGGAGATGGGGTGGGGAGGAGGGTGGGGAGTTGGGAGGGAAGAGAGAGATAGGTAGGAGGGATTTTGAGTTGGGGAGATAGGTGGGGAGGAGGTAAGAGAGATAGGGAATAGGTCGGGGGTATAGGAAGGAGGATGGTGAGGGAAGAAAAGGATGAAATATGGTAATAATAATAAAATTGATAATAACTTTAATAATTAATAAGATAATGAAAGATATGTATTGATTATATTGAACACACACACACACACATACACACTCACACACACACTCACACACACACTTACCAGGGCACTATAGGGCACGGGGTAGTCTGTATGGTTGGGTATTCCCGTGACCTCAGCATTGAGTGCCAAGTCCTCCAAGATGGTGCCATTAGTGTGTGCCATTATCATGTCACCGCCCACGTCCTGCAGTGCCGCCCCTTGTGGGAGTGGACCAGCGTATAGGAGACACAGCCCATCTGAAGGAGGGGAAGAAGGAGGTGGTGGAGGAGGAGGTGGAGGAGGAGATGGTGGTGGAGGTGGTGGTGGAAGAGGAGGAGGAGGAGGAGGTGGTGGGTGGAAGAGGAGGAGGAGGAGGAGGTGGAGGAGGAGGTGGGAGGAGGAGGTGGAGAGGGAGGAGGAGGAGGTGGAGGAGGAGATGGTGGTGGAGGAGGAGGTGGAAGAGGAGGAGGAGGAGGAGGAGGAGGTAGAGATGGAGGAAGAAGAGGAGAAAGAAGATAAGTTAGGTTAGATTAAGTTAAATCAGATTAACAATAAAAAAATCAATCATTAACTGAAATAAACTCAGGTAGCCAATCAACAGGTAAACCAACTCACTCACTGGGCACCCTGAAGAAGGTACAGGCGGCCTCTTGACCACACAGGAGGCCACAGTATGAGAGGGCAAGGGAGAGGCCGCGAGGTATTACAGACTTCTCGATAAGGGTGACACTCGTGCTGTTGCTGTAGAAGAACTGGGGGCAAGATAGTGTTATGTAGTGAGTAGAGAATATGTGGTATTTTATGTAGTTTTGTAGTGTTATGTATGTTGTTTGTATACCTGTAGTGTCTATGTATTATGTAGAAAAAAAATAAAATCATACAGTTTTTGGAATCAACTGAAGATTAATCCTTCAATTTATTTCACCTGAAGATTCAACACCCTAACCTAACCCACTTCAGCTGTTGTTTTTAATGATAAGATAATGGCCGGTGGGTTATAGAAGCTGTTAATAGTGAATCACCTTCTGTGTGTGTGTGTTGTTACGACCGTGTTGTATTTTTCTATTGTTATATATATAACACGCTTCCATGTTGTTCCATATTATTCCTGTAATGATGTTGTTGTATTTACTATTATATATTCTAGTCACCTTAACCTGTGCTGTTAAGGTTTTAACTGTTATTATTTGTTCAAACCCATTTAGTATTGTAACAAGCATTCTTTGTTCTCTAACGACCATCTGCATCGTTAAACGACCCACCGGCGGGTCGTGTGGCGGGAGCCGACCTTATATACAGTATAGGACCCACCAACAGTTCAGTCCTCTTGTCATACAGTTCACATCCTTTGAGTGACTCTCGTCACCTGTTACTTCTACTTAATTTACTTGTGTTGTTCCTGTCGCCACCAATGTGCTATGTCTATGTCAGTACCTATTTATGTCTCTGTTTATGTCCATCAGTATTTGTTTAGTTACATTTAAGTAATTCAGTGTTGTTTCACGTTAGTTAATTTCAGTGTTAGTTTTTATATGTTTATGCAGTGTTAACGTAATCCAATGTTTCCATGTTTAGTATCACTTGTCTTAAAGGTTTCAATAGTGAATCAATTAGTTGTGACAGCCTACGAGGCTCTTTATTGTGTTAATATTTAATTAATTAAATTCTTAAAGGTTTACTTTATTTATTTTTATTCTTTTAATTTACTTCACTTTTTTGTTTGATTACGCCTAGAACCTGTGTGGGGGTGTGGGGGGTGGGGGTTGTATGTGTGTATATTTGTAAATTTTGTGTAAGTTTAATCCTCCACACATACTGTAACATATAATTAAAATTCAAAATTAACATTGATAGTTTAATTAGATACGGTCACTTAGCACCAGTTAGGAGACAAAATTAACATAGGTAATATTCATGCTTATGTTGATATATTACTACGAACACCTTAACTTTTAAACATTTTTTATCCTTTAATTGATATAATAGTTTAGAAATATTATTAAAATGTTTTTATTCGTGTGGCAGTTAACTGTTGACTAAATATTTATTGCATTCCCAGAGTTGGAATAAACTAATTGCAAATATGTTTTAGTTGTTATGAATTTATGAGTTTGTAATAACTGTAAATACTGTATTGTTCTGTTTTGCCTGAGTGATGCGAGATGCCATTTGTTAATTGTAATTAATTATTTGGTAAAAGAATGTATAGCTATGATTAACTATTCTCCGTTGGCTTTAATATCGTTTACTGGATTACACTAAACTGGTTCCCTATTATGTAAACACAACAGGTATATGACGACGCTGATTGGATGATTAGTTCAGACGATACGATGGGAAAGTATCGTACAGCTTTATATATTATCCCCATTTTATCCAATGTCATACACAATTCATATATTTTTGCTGTATTTAATAACTTTATTAGCTATAAATTACCTTTTTTGGTACAATTAAGAGTAATTATTCAGATATGCAACAGGATAAAAATTATTTGTACGTCAGACAGCAAAAACAAATGATTTGCGGAGGGGATACGTCCTTATAAAATTATTTAGTGTAATTTATCTCATGGCGATTATAATTTTGATAAAACCTCATGATTTATATACTTGAGAAGCTTTAGTGAAATTTTAACGTCGTTTCTATATCATAATGAGACTATAACGAGGTGTGTGTACATCAAAGTCTAGCATAATGAAAGATACTCAATATATCTTTGGTATAATCGCCTAATTAGCGAGGTGTCGCTCGCTAATCATACCTGTTGGCCGTAAATATGACAGCAGCCAATAGGGAATCATCTCTTGAGTAATAACAACGGTATTTGCGGATTTCCAGGCATAAATTACTCAATAAACGTCTTTTCAAATCATAAGATGAAGTTTGGCTAAGATCCGTTGACTTGTTCGCGTGACGATTTTAATATTAGAAGTTCTTGAGTGAGATTAATTTAATTATTTTTCTAGTAACACTCTCAATATAATTATAAGAAAAATTATACTCTTTATTTAATCACTGTATTATTATTTTATTCATTTATTAAAAAAATAGTTTATGAAAGAAAATCGCAATTTCTAAAATCTTGCCTTAATCAACTTTATCTCGTCAACATGTTTACCAGTAAAAAAATAAAGATACTTTTCTGTGAGAACCTTAATATAATAATGTAATATCTAATCTATTTAAAACGATTTTTATCATATAATTCTAGAATAAAAATTGGAGTAAAATGAATCGCAACATTGAAAATCCCGCCAACGTGTTCAGTGGACCAGAGAGACGACGGCACCAGGACGGGGAGGGTGTGTCGTCCTCTTGGCTAACATTACCCCCAGTTTTTTCTGTATATTGTGAACCGAAAACAAACTCAAATGAAAAAAACAAGCATCAATTAACCATTAGATAACAGATGACGAAGAGATAAATGAAGAAATAAAAGAGAAGTAACATCGCGCTATAACCAGTTGAAGTAAGTTATAATTATTCAATGAAAATACATAAATTCAATATATTTTACTAGTTACTAACACTTTATACTCTTATTTTTAGTCCTTTTAGAGAAATGTGTTCATATTTTACCCTCAACTTATATTAGTATTTTATAAAGGAATATATATTTGTTTTTATTCTATATAAGACGGGTAATATAGGTAATATATCTTTATTATATAGTATGTATTACTTAATGGGTAAATGGTGAATATCTTGTATCTCGCTGATTGGTCCTCGCTCATATGACGTCATCAGTGAGTTAAATGCGTACACTTTTGTCTCGCTGATTGGTCCTTGCTCATATGACGTCATCAGTGAGTTAGTTTGCGTACACTTTTGTCTCGCTGATTGGTCCTCGCTCATATGACGTCATCAGTGAGTTAGTTTGCGTACACTTTTGTCTCACTGATTGGTCCTCGCTCATATGACGTCATCAGTGAGTTAGTTTGCGTACACTTTTGTCTCACTGATTGGTCCTCGCTCATATGACGTCATCAGTGAGTTAAATGCGTACACTTTTGTCTCGCTGATTGGTCCTTGCTCATATGACGTCATCAGTGAGTTAGTTTGCGTACACTTTTGTCTCGCTGATTGGTCCTCGCTCATATGACGTCATCAGTGAGTTAGTTTGCGTACACTTTTGTCTCACTGATTGGTCCTTGCTCATATGACGTCATCAGTGAGTTAGTTTCGTACACTTTTTGTCTCCCGCATGATTGGTCCTCCTCATATGACGTCATCAGTGAGTTAAATGCGTACACTTTTGTCTCACTGATTGGTCCTCGCTCATATGACGTCATCAGTGAGTTAGTTTGCGTACACTTTTGTCTCGCTGATTGGTCCTCGCTCATATGACGTCATCAGTGAGTTAAATGCGTACACTTTTGTCTCGCTGATTGGTCCTTGCTCATATGACGTCATCAGTGAGTTAGTTTGCGTACACTTTTGTCTCGCTGATTGGTCCTCGCTCATATGACGTCATCAGTGAGTTAGTTTGCGTACACTTTTGTCTCACTGATTGGTCCTTGCTCATATGACGTCATCAATCCTTTGCTCCCCTCCCCGCCCCCCAAACACGACAGCCGAGGCTAAAGAAAATTAAACTTTTAAAATTGACTTATTTAATCTGGTTTATTGGAAAGTTGTCTTGAAGTTGTTAGTTGATCAAGTTAATACTCTTAGACTTCTTAATACTGACTGTTGAGTTACTTAAGATTATTTCAGCAACGTGGCTTAATATTAACTTAGTTTGACTAGATTTAATCGTACTCAAAATACTCTAAAAGATTATTTCAGCAACGTGGCTTAATATTAACTTAGTTTGACTAGATTTAATCGTACTCAAAATACACTCAAACCATATTATTTAAGGTCTTCTTAAACCAAATTTGAACTTCCTTTAAATCCACAAAAGCTTAAACTATCACTAAACCTGATCTGATCTTAAGCCTTAATGGCCTAAACTAGCGTTGAACTTAACCCAACCATTAACCTAAGCTAAACTTAAGCTTTACCTTAAGTTAAGTTAGGGTGGTTAATCTTCAGGTAAAACTAAACCACGATCACATAAGGTAACATAACACCAGGGAGGGGGAGGAGAGACACCTTTGAACTGGACCCACCAAAGTGATGTAAAGTCGCGGTGTTGTGAATCTGTACACATGAGGATTTTTTTCTATGTATGTGAAACGAAAACACGATCATGAAGCGTACACCCTCCCCCTCCTCCCCCTCCTACCTACCCCCCTCTCT